TAATGAAAAATTCAAAATTTTATAAGAATTACCAAAATGTGACACAGTGAAGGATGTGAGAACAGGCTGTTGGAAAAATTACGCCAATTGACTTGCTTGATTTAAGGTTGCACAAACCTTCAATTTATATATATATATATACATATGCAAAATACAATAAAACAAGGTATGCCTATACCCTGTTTCTGGGCTGTGAGCTCTTTTCAGGTTTCTATTATGCAGAATATATGTAGCACGTTATTTTATAAAATGTTCCATAGACACAGTATTTTTACAAGGGTCAAGAACCTTAAATTAAGATATTAGGATGACCTTACAAAAAGAAAACATGGCTATCAAACATGAACTTATTCATATGAAAACATCCCCTCAAAAAAAAAAATCCAAACCAAATCTCAAAACCCAAGTTTAGGCTTCTATTCTACCAGGCCTAGTGTAAGGAAGGAAGGATCATGGAAGCCAAGGATGTTTTGGTGTTATCGTACAAACTGGATGTTCTCAAGAGCTCTTGCCTTGAGTTCTCCATAAAAGTCCTTTAGGTAGGTGTGGGTTTGGCATTTGGGCTACATGGCCAGCCCATTGGAATTACACTCTCCATAGTAATTTGAATGTTTGGCAGTTCAGCTTGAGAGAGGACCTCAGTGTCCAGTACTTTATCTTGCCAGGTAATCTTCAGACTCTTCCTAAGACAATTCAAAAGTCAAGGTTTCACAGGCATACAACTACGAAGTCAGGACAAGGTCAGAAGAAGTGGTACAAGGACACTGTCAAGGCCTCTTTGAAGAATTTTAGTACTGATTATGAGACATGGGAGATTCTGGCACAGAACCACCCAGCATGGCATGCCTGTATCAAAGAAGGTGTTGTGTTCTACAAGCAAAGCAGGATTGCACTAGAACGAAGGAAAATGGGAGATGCACAAATCTAGAGACAGCTTCATCCCAAATGTTCAAGCAGACTATTCATGCCCAATCTGTGTTAGAGCCTTTCAAGCTCAGATTAGAGTAATCAGCCATAGTTGAACACACTGTACCTTGACCCCAACATCATGGTATCATTGGTCCTCTTTGAGTGGGAAGGACTAACGACAACAACAATAACAATAACAGGATGTTCTCAGCCAAACAATAACAACAAAAATCATAGAACTTTAGAATGGGAAAGGACAATCTAGTCCAACCTCCTCATTTTAAAAATAAGAAAAATGAAGCCCAAAGAAGGAAAGGACTTATCCAAGTTCACATAACTGGTGAATACAATCTGGAGTAGAATCTATTTCTTCTGGTTCCCAGTCCAACATTTGTCCCAAGAAATAATGTTGACAAATAAGTGATAGGTGGCAAGTCAGATCTTTAATTCAAATATGAAATGTCACTATTTCCTACAGTAGAATAATGGCTTAGTCCTATTTTTTTAGTCCTTGTCCTCTGAGGTCCTTTCAAGCACCATATCTACAATCCCATGATTCTTAAAATACATCTCAATAGGGGACAGTTAGTTTCCTCTTGTAAGGTGTACTAAAAAAAAGTTTCCCGCTTAGTAAAAATGCACCACTGCCTTAGTATCCTTTGAAGAGAGCAGTAAACTCTTACATAAGTAGAATTCTAATTGAATTCTAATTTATAATCTATCATGGCCAGTGATTTTTCTGAAGACTTGAACTATATATGTGTACTCCCACTTTAAGCAAATATGATAAATTAAGCTCTAAATCTTCACTTTACAAAAGGATTTACCATAGAATTCTTTATTGAATAGCTTTACCTCCCCTTAATGTAATACATTTACATACAACTTGAATAACATATATGTTATGCAACATTTGAGGATATGAGCCCATTTTATAAAATGAGATACACCTTTGCCAGGAAATATTTACTTTGTACTTAGATCTATCTGTCTATCTACTTCGGTGGTCCAACAGATCTGAAATCAAATTGATTTGAGTACCCCCTCCCTCCACCAGTACAACCTATCCATGCCTTCTCATACTTTGTGACTCTTGTCCATATCCTTTGGTAAATCTTCCATGGTGTATAAGCCAATATTCTAGAATTCTTCAAATCCAAAACACAAGTATTTTCTTCTGGGTGGGCCCAGACATTCCCAGACCTTTATTTTGGTTATCAGTGTTTACATTTTCCAAAACAGGAGTGTCTGCTTTTATTATTGCAATGAAGCAAATGGATTTGCTTTTAGAAACATGATGATGTCCAAAGGTTCTGGATAAGGTTTTCACTAGTTTATATTCCCCCTGAAGCCTTTCCTACTGGTTTAGTTCTTCAGGAGAAATCTCTCTCTTCTGCAGAGGTTATCTCTTTGAACTAATTATTAAAAACAGTTTTACACATAAAATGAGCTTCTTTAGAAAACAAGCCCAATTATTTTGGAGAATATTCACATATTTGTACGACATTGGATTAACTAAATATTTTAATGGATTGGCCCACTATTCAATCTCTATTGGGAATAAGAAAAATGAAAGACAGAGATGCAGAAAGGAGGAAGCCATTACAAGGAGAGTAGCTTTTTTTTTTTCACTAAGAATCTACCTCAAAAAACCTCCTTTTGGGGGAAAGACAAGTGCCCTGAAGTCGTCAAAATTAAATCTACTCTACCCAAACCAAATGGCTAAATCAAAAGATGTCATTTTAAAAATCATTAAAACATTTTCTGTGTATACAGCATTAAGCTAGACTGGAAGTTCCTTGAGGGCAAGTATTCTATTATTATTCAAATCTTATATCATTCCCAGTGTACTATATATAGTTAGCAGTTAATAAATGTTTGTTGATGTCCTTATGCTTTTATGGGGGAAAATGTCTTTACCTTCTTGGCAATTTGTAATGGAAAGAAGTCTAGATTGAGAGCCAGGAGAACTGGGTTTCAGAGTCTGATCTGCCACAGAACTCAGAGTGACTGAGCAAATCTCTTCCTCCTAAGCCTCAGTTTTCCCATCAGTAAAGAATGAGTTGAAATCTATGATCCACGACCCCTTCTACTTCTGATAATTCAAGCCTTGGGAAATTTACTTACCCACTCTGGACCTAAATTTCCTTATAGATAAAGGCTTAAATACATGAACAGAAGCTCCTTCCAGCTGGCTGTGCTGTGTGAATTGTAAATCAGAGGGTTTGGTTTGAATTCCAGCTCCACTACTTTCTCTGAAATCTTAAATCCGTTCACCTCTCTGGGCCTCAGTTTCCTCACCTGTCAAATAAAGGGGGGGGAGGGAGATTTGGACTAAATGTCCTCTCAGGTCCCTCTGGGCCTGTTTCCTTAACTGTATAATAAGGGGATGGGACTGGATGGCGTCTAAGGTCCCTCTGGGCCTCAGCGTCCCCTTCTGTAAAATAAGAGGGTTGGACGTCATTCCGGGCCTTAGTTCCCTCATCTACAAAACAAAGGGGTTGGACTAGATGGCCTCCGAGGTCCCTTCTACCATTGAACCTCTTCATGCCTCTGGACCTTCTGCAGACGGCCCAGAGCCTTTGACTAAAGTCATGTCTTCACCAGAAAAGTAATGGAAAACTTTCAGCTATTATCCCACGAAAGAACGTAGCTCTGGACATAACAAGTGCCTCCATTTGGCTGGTGTGGCTGGGCCTCTGCTAATGCAACATCAACTGTGGAAAAGGAGAGAAAGAAGGAAAGGAGAATGCAGAAGAGATGAGAAGGCAGGAGAAGTGAGAGAAGGGACAAGGCGCGTGAACGTCTCACAGCCTCCTCCCTCCCCCCTCCCATGCCCCCATTCCCCCCCTACACCTTGCTACACTGCCCCTACGCCTCAGCTCTCCCATTGAGAACAAGGAGGAGAGAGAAGGGCGGGGCGGGGGAGCCAAGAGCCAGTTCTCGCGCGCGTGCCCGCCTGGACCCCAGACTCCGCCCTCCGTCCTCTCAAGGCTGCGTCGGGGATGGGGGGGAGCTCTCTGGAGTTCTCGCGCGCGCACGCGCGCGGGATTGCTCGCTCGCTCGCACCCCCTCCCCAGGGCCCGGCGAAGCAGCCCGCTCGCGAGCCCCAGGGCGGGCAGGCGTGCGTCCCTGCTGACGTCATTGAGGCCGGCGAGCCTGTACGGTGTGGGCTAGAACCCCTGGCGCACTCGCACACTCCGCTCTTTTCCTTCCCTCCCCCCTCCCTCTCATCCCCCCCTCCCTCCCAGGCTCTCTTTCCCCCTTTTTTTTTCCCTCTCCTCTCTTCTCTCTCCTCTCGCTCTCGCTCTCTCTCTCTCTCTCTCTCTCTCTCTCTCTCTCTCTCTCTCTCTCTCTCTCTCTCTCTCTCCATTAGGATCCACTGAACGATGCGATCTCTGGGAGCCAGCGCTATCGCCGCCGCCACCGCCCGCTAGAAACCTTGCTCCCCCTTCCCCCTTCCCCACAGCTTGCAAAGCCCCCCAAAGAAGAGGGAAAAGGGAAAAAAAAGAAGAAAGAGAAGGGGAGGGATGCAATACTAATCACCATCCTAATAATCCTCTCTAGCCGAAGGATCCACCCTGCCCCCCCCATCCCCATCCCCATCCCCATTCCCACCCTCCTCTGGCTCCTGGCTCCATCGAGCGCCTTTGCCCTTTATTTTTATTTTTAAATTTTAAATTTTTTTTTAAATAATCCTCGGTGTCCGCAGCCTAGCGCTGCTGCTGCTGCTGTTGCTGCTGCTGCTGTTTGTTGCTGCTGCTGCTGCTTCCCCTGCCGCTGCCGCTGCTCCGGGTCCCCGGCGGTGGTTGCCTCTTTTCGGATGCGTTGCTTGCAAGCAGCTGGGAGAGACCCGCAACCCTGTCTCTAGAGCTACCAACCCCAGCCCTGACCCCAGCCCCGAATCCAGCCTCCTCCTGCAGGTGACCGGCAAACGGGGCAGTAGCCTGAAATCCACCTTGCGAATTTTTGGGGGTAGGGGCTTCATTTTTATTGTGTTTGGGGAACTTGATTTCTTTTTAAAAGGAAAAAAAATACAAGAAAGAAGGGAAGAAAATTAGCGATTTTTTAAAAGGACAGAAATAAATATTTCTGGGGGGGGTGGGGGTCAAGCCGAGAAGGGGAACCGTGCCAGCCGAGGCGTGCGGGCTGTTTTGGGTGTCACGATGGGATGTACATTGAGCGCAGAGGAGAGAGCCGCCTTGGAGAGAAGCAAAGCGATTGAGAAAAACCTCAAAGAGGATGGCATCAGCGCCGCCAAAGACGTGAAATTACTCTTGCTGGGTAAGAGAGCCTTGGCCACTTCCTCACCCCCACCCCTTTCCACCAGGCCCCCTGAACAGCCAGGCTGCACCCTATTCCAAACAACGCCCCCACCGCCACCTCTGTTTTCACCCCTTTCTTCACCCTTCTCCCTTATCCTGTGTCCAAGTAGACTTGTCCTGAGTCCAGGGAGACCTTTCCCTTCTTAGATTTGCAACAAGATAACCAAGCCATTGCACACACACAAGTCTTCAGCCAAAAAAGCTGATCCCCTGCATCCCTTAGTCCAGCTGCTCCCTTCCTCCTCCCAGTGTAATCTCCCAGTTCTTCTAGCCTGACACTGACTAGCTTCTTTTCTTTTTTGTCTGTCCCTACAGGGGCTGGAGAATCAGGCAAAAGCACCATTGTGAAGCAAATGAAGTAAGTCCCTATTGTATTGGGATTTTAATTTTTTCCCCTTACTCTTCTTCCTGCTGTCCCTTAGGCCCTGTTTGTAATTCTTGCTCACAAATACATAACACTTTGACACCCCCTCCATCTCCCTTCCCACCTTAGGTGTTTCTCTTCCCTCCACCCCATCTCCCAAGAGGAATGTTTTTAGGGAGGGGTGAGGAGAAAGGATGATGGTGGGGGCTGTAGTTGTATGAATGACAATGTCCGCCATATTGATCAGAGCATCATCACTATTGGCAATATTGTGAATGTTATTTCCTACTGGTGGGGTGTTTTTCCCTATCTCCTCCCTCCCCACCCCCATCCTCCACCCTTCTCTCTCCTCCCCTTCTCACAGCTGCACCTGTGGCAGGGATTTATTTCTGGCTTGCCTAGAAGATGGAGGGGAGGGGACCTTGTCTTTTGCTCTGGGTGGAAAATCGAGTGTCTGCTGTTCATGGTTTTGGTGCTGAATTGGAAGTAGTGGGGGTTTCTCTATCTCTAGCTTTCTGTCTCTCCCATGTACACATACATACACATATACCCCCATGGGGTGGGGGGCACAAGAGGAGAGGAGTGGGTGGCTTTCCAGGCTGATGTGAATGGCACAGATGTAACCAGGGCAGGGCCATCAAACAGACCAGTGTCAATTAAGCTTAATGTCAGCTTTCTGTCTCTCAGCTCTTTCCTCTTTGCCCCCACCCTCCCTGATGTTCGATCTCTTGACATGGGCAGCTGGGTTAGCTCCACAGCACTTATATTATTTGTTTGCTGAATAAGGTATGTTATATATAAATCTACCTACAAGGCAGATTCAAAACAAGTCTTGCTGCCACCCCAAATCCCCCTTTGCCCAAGGGGTCAGTCTTTCTTTAATTAGCTAGCAGGAAGCAATTTTTACTATTGATAGAAATGTTTTTCTTTATTGATATTATTTTTAAGTGAAAGAAAATCTCATAATCTCCATAAAAGCCTCACTCTCTTTCTGAACATACACACTTTATTGTTCCTTGCTCTTGACATCAACCATTTCTTGGGGATTTCTAAGCAGGTTTGTTTTAGATTTGGGGGAGGGGACTTAGAAGGGGGAGGTGCAGGGGTTTTTGTGCTCCATTCCCCACCACCAAGCTTGTGTCTTTGCTACTTCCTGTTATTCTTCCTATTTGGAGTTCGTTTGAGACCTTTTAGTGAGGCTTCCACGTCGGTTTGCTGTGACACCTTTACATATACACAGGGTTCCTAATTAGGGGTTGCTATGCAGTAAACAAAAATGATTATTTTTCAACTTGACAGAATAGCTGAAGTAATTGCATCCCGCAGGAAAACAATGGAAAATAAAAATCTCTTTCTTGGGGAGGTGGGTGAGGGAGGAAGCCTGTTTGCGATTTCAGAACTAAGATGGGGGGGGGGAGTTAAAGCCCCAATCTTGCACGTATAACTAGCATGACAAGCTAGTTCTAGGCGGCGCCATGATTGTACCGTGAAGCAGCTCTTTAAAAATTCTCATCTGTTTTTCATATTGCTATATTTGCACGAGAAACCCCTTGGGGGGGGGGAGATTTTGCAAGGGGGCATCTCGGCTTGCTGCACCCCTCTGGAGCCATGATTAATTTGGCTTGGGGCTTCTCTAGAGCTGTGTACAACCTAAGTGAATTTGGGAAGTGGGGCCTAGGGAATTTCTATTTGCAGCAAGGTGCATGTTGCATTTGCATGGCTGGTCACTTTATGCACACGCTCAAATGAATAACAATAAGCAAGATTTTTTTTAAAAGTCTCTAATCTACAGAGGCAGGTTCCCGGGCCCTTTAAAAGCCAGTGCAACCTGGCTCTGCGTTGGGTTTCAGGCATTGCGAGTGGTGGACAGCGCCCAGCTAAGGCTAGAAAAGTCGATTGGGTCCGAGAGCTCAGCAGCACCTGGCTCAGCTCTGTGACTGGCCGGGTACTGAAACTCGGAGAGTCTCGGCTGTGTTCGGGTGCTATTCGATTCCTTGGGAGGCTAGAGCCGAGCCACTTCGGAAACAGCCGAGTGTGTTCGCATCTCGGGCAAGGCTAAGAGGGAGGGGGAAGGGTAGAAATCTCTGCAAATTAACTTTGCATCAGCCAAAGCAGCAATTCTCCCCACGTTGACTTCCACAGTTCTCTCGAAGATGCTACATAAATTAGGCTGACTTAATAAGGTGTTTAAAAATATATACAGATTCCCCAAAAGGGTAATATTACCTACCTCTTCATTCAAAGAGAGCTGAGCTCTCCAAGGGGAACAGTGTGCCATTTTAGAATGAAAATTCCTAATTGCATATGAAGGAAATCTAATCAAAAGACTGAATGTAGACTTCTCCCTGGAAGTCTCTGATGTCCCAAATGGTTTTTCATACTGGCATTTTTGGTAATACTGGGGGGAGGAGGAGGGAGGCAAGCTAGTGTTTGAAGGTCTACAGGTAAATCAGAAATGTGGGTCTCTCCCTCCCCACATTTGTTGTGAGATTTTAGAGTCTCAAAAATAATTTTGAAAAAAAAATTGACTAGCACAGATCACAGGATCCCCGTTGGGAATGGTTTGTGCTTATTCAAAAGGAGAGCCAAAGATGCATGACCATGGTCCAGAAAACAACACCCCAAAGGATTCATGCAAAGATCCATAGTGAGGACTCTATAGGTACCCATGAACAGAGACTGTCTGTCTTCTGGGTTCTGGCTGTAAAGGGGGACAGTACAAGATGCCAGGGTGGATGCTGAACTCATATTAGGTATGAAATGTGTGGCTAGTAACAATGGTATTCCAGTGACAAATTCTTTTAGTAATTTCCGTTTGCACAATCATGACTTGGAGCTTGTGAGGCACAGATTTCTATCTAGAAAGTCAGCGGAATTGAACAGTGGGTGGGGTGAGGAAGCCAAGATGGTGATTCCACATGCCCAAGAGAAATATTTAGAGAGTAGTTACTGGTTTTTGTGCAGTACAAAGTATCATTCATAATAATATGCAGAACATTCTACCAGACAGCTGTTGAGATACAGACTACTGATATTATCAATGACTCAGATAAAAGTATAGATAGCATCCTTGTCAATTTTGCAAGCAATGTAAAATTAGAAGGAATGGCTAACCCATTAAATGATAGAGTCTGACTCTATTAAGATCTTAAGAGGGTAGAAAATCATTCATACCAGAAAGATTAAATTTAAGATGGATAAATGTACAGTTTTACACTTGGATTCAAGACACATTGATTTCACAAGTACATATGGAGTTGTCATGGTTAGACAGTAATTTGTCTAAAAATCAGAGGATATCAGTGAGTTGTAAGTTTAGCATAAATCAACAACGTAAATATGGCGACCAAAAAAAGCACATTTTGGGTAGTATAAAGAAATCCATACCTTCGAGGGGTAAGGAGGCAATAGCCCTACTGTATACCAGGGTGGAGAAGGTCTTTGAGTCCTTGCCACATGAGCATTAGTTGAAAGATCTAAGGTTGCTCAGCTTGGGGAAGATTGGCGGAACATGATAGCTATCTTCAAGTTATTTGGAAAGCTGTCATTTGAGAGAGTGATCAACTTGTTCTGTTTGGCCCCAAAGAACAGTAGTTAGAGCATAGGCAGAAGTTTCCAAGTGGTACATTTAGGCTAAGTAGGAAACAGTTCCTAACAGTGAGAACTATCCAAAAATGAAAAGGACTTCATCAGAAAAAAAGTGGGTTTCCTCTCTTTGGAAGTCTCCAAGCAATGGTTGAGTGACCCATTTGTCAAGTGCATTTATTATAGGTGGAAATTCTTTGCAGAAATATGTTTTGCATGACTTCATATATGTTATGAGTATTATTTTTCTTGCCTTCTCAATGGGTGGGGAAGGAACTAGCTGGACAGAATTTGGAACCAAAAATAAAATAAAATAAAATTTATCAGTGGAGATTCTTGTTCCGTTATGGGCTGAACTAGATGGCTGCAAAGGCCCTTTCCAAGCCAGAAATTCTGTGTTTCTTTTAAAAGCTCCCTTACAAATGAGAAAAATTGAGATTCAGGGAGGTTAAATAGCTTACCTAAGGTTACTTAGCCAGTAGTGGAGCAGGCACTTGATACCAGGCCCTGTGACTCCCAAGTCCATTCATTGAACTTTCCATTATACCTTAATTCATGACCAGGAAGCTAAGACCAACATACTAAACTAGCCAGCATCAGCTAAGGTGCTCTTTTATTTCACCTAGATCAATGTGTCTGTGATATTACATAGATAGTGTCCATGAAGCCCAGCAAGAGCCTTATGCTTTTGTAGTGGTAATAGAGATTTATCAGACTGGCCCCTTGGGTTGTGATGCAGGATATTTCAGACACTGATGGCATGCAATTTTTCAGTCAACGTCACCAGAAAAGCAACAACCAGGATCTTTATTTCTTAACTTCGTTCTCAATAGCTTCCATATTGTAATGTGTTGTTTAGGATGCTAGAAAGGATATGCTGGTAGTAAATAATCAAGTAAAGGAATAGATATCGGATACTGTTTGTATAAAAAAATGTTACACCTGGCTAAGAACATTTCAGAAATGGTTTGATTTTTTTAAAATTACTACTAATTAAGAGAAGGTCTTGTGGGGGAAATTGTAATTATTTATGTGGTCTGTTTTCCAATTAGATTGTCTTTTATGGCTTTGTAAAGTTTAAAGTGCTATATGATATGTATTATGATAATAATGAATACCAAGTAACAGAAAAATTTGTTGAAAATAGGGTAGGGTTTTTTTGGGGGGTGGTAGTGCTGAAATTGTATTTGTGTGTGTCTGAATTAATGTTTGGGAGCTTTGTAGAATAGAATGGAATTCCAAAACAGCTCAGTGCTGAGACATAAACAATGATAATTGATACAGTACCAATATAATTTAAAGTATTCCATGATTATTAAGTGGCTGTTTTTAGCATTTTAAATACTTTTGATCGTTAAGGGTTGTGACTTCACCTGTTAGATATTCTCGTCATTTGTTGCTTAATCTGT